AAAAAAAAAAAAAAACTCGAAGAGGTAATTAAAAAATTGTCCTAAAGCCAATAAAACTTGAATATGTAGATTAGAAGATAGATCTTGATGAGATTATTGAACTTCAAGGGTATGTGTATGCATGTGTGAGATCACTGTGGGGGAGAGGGAAGGCAGTCATCTCAAAGAAAAATGTCAAGATGGTCTTAGATTTGCACAGAAGTCAATGCCTAAAGAGAGAAAAGTGGTGTCCAGACTTGGAACTCCAGGGGGAATAAGAAATGAGAATTTTATATCAAATCAAAAAGGCATTGCCAAAAATTCAAGGACTCAGGTAACTTAGCACCCATTAACTCTTCTTTAAAAAATTGCAAAATCCAGCACCCATTAACTCATTAATTGCAAAAATTTAGCACCCATTAACTCTTCCTTAAAAAACTGCTTAACTCTTCTTTAAAAAATTGCAAAATCCAGCCCATCAAGATGAGAATGAATGGAAAGGACTCATAACAAGGGAACTGGGATATGAAAAATGAGCACCAAATCTGTGTTCATTGGTGGTTCTCAACCCTGGCTGCACATTAGAATGGCCTGGAAACTTTGTAAAAAGACCTATTACCAAGCCCTTCCTAGACCAATTAAATTCAAATTCTCTCAGAAAGGGCCTTAGAATCAATGTTCTTTTTTTTTTAAAACACATCCTGAAGACCACTTACTTAGATATAGAAGCAAAGGCTAATCAACGGTGAGAATTAGAACAAGTGACTATTACAAACACTGAAAATGTAAAAAAAATATATATATGTAAGAAAAATCAACTGAAATAGGAGAGGAAGTAAAAGATCAAATATTTCCTCATGATTATTAATACTTAACAGTGAATTGTGAATTATTTCACTATGCAAAAAATAATTGACAATTTCTTTAAATGAATGACATTTCAAAATTTCCATTTTATAAACCATTTCTGAATGCTTTATAAACAATAACTCATCATAAATGGCTTATACTTTCCTAAAATTCCCTGAAAAATCAACCAGTAGCCAGGAGGGTCACAAAGGATTAGCGTGAACGAACTGTTAAGGTAAAGCAGCTATAGCTGCCAGGACCAGAAAGCGACTAAACAGTAAAAATGAGCCTCTGTGCTGTCGTGATCCTAACTGATCAGAGTGGGGAAACAGAAACTCTTATATACCATCCGTGCAAATGTCGATTGGTTCAATCATTTTATTAATCGACATCGTATTGGTACATATTTATGGGTAGAATTTGATGTCTTGATGCATATGTATGTTGCATAATGAGTAAATCATGGTATTTAGCATATTCACTGCCTCATGTATTTATCATTTCTTTGTTGTAAACTCAAAACCTCTCTTGTACTGTTGTGTAACAGGCTCTATCTTACTGTGTGCAACAGAACACCAGGGTTAATCCCTTGTCTAATTGCAACTTTGTACCTTTCCCCTCCCCAGTCTGGGATAACCACTGTTCTACTCTCTGCTTCTATAATGCCAATACACTTTGTGGATCTTTGTTTTCTTAGAGTCCACATATAAGTGAGATCGTGCAGTGTTTGTCTTTCTGTACCTAACTTATTTCACTTAACATGATGTCCTTCAAGTCTGCCCGTGTTATTGCAAGTGACAGTACTTTATTCTTTTTCGTGGCTGAATAGTATTCCACTGTGTAGCCACAGCTTTTTTTTTTATTATTATTTATGTATGTGTCTTTGGACACTTGGGTTGATCCCACATCTTGCTGTTGTAAACCCCACTGCAATGAACGTGGGGTGCAGATGTCTCTTTAACATCATGGTTTCATTTCCTTTGAATATATACCTAGTAATCTGATTGCTGAATCACAAGGCCATCCAGTTTTTTTGTTTGTTTGTTCGTTTGTTTTGAGGAATGTCCATAGTGTTTTCCACAATGGCTGTACTAACTTACAATCCAGTTACATTGGCGCAGTGGTATGTAAGTGTCGCCCTTTCTCCACGTCCTCACCAGCTTGTTTTCTTTTTGATGACAGCCACTCTAACTGGAGTGAGGTAGTATCTTACCATGATTTTCACTGGCATTTCCCTGATTACAGACGCTGAACATTTTTCATGTACCTGTTGGCCATGGCTTCTTTTGAGAAATGTTCATTAAGCTCTTTTACCCATGGATTTTTTTTCTGTTAAGTTCTTCCTATTTTCTGGATATTACACCTTTGTCTGACGGAAAGTTTGTGAATATTTTCTCCCATTCTGTATGTTTTCCCTTCACTTTGTTAGTTGGTTCCTCTGCTGTGCAAAAGCTATTAAGGTTGATACAAACCCATTTATCTATTTTTTTATTATTATGTTAACTAAACGTTTGAGGTCTTATTTAAAAAGGTGGAACATGTTAAAGAAGAATTTGGTATCACATTTTATTATTAAAAATGTTCATGTACTTCATCGCAGAAATTCCTCTAAGAATTTATCTTAGGAAATAAAAGCACAGGCCAGGCATGGTGCCTCAGGCCTGTCAACTACTCTTTCCTCCCTCCGTTCCAGTGTCTCGCCCCATCCTCACCTTCAAAACTCCCCAGCCCCAGGCTGTGGTGGGAGACATGGTACAGCTTCGCTGC